GGGGTGCTCAGGGCTAATATTTTTTTTGTTGGGGTTTTTTTGATACAGCAAATAAACATTTTTGTTTTAAACTGCCAACAGCTATTTAAAAATACATTTCACTGGCATCCCATCTGGTCTTGAATTATTAGATGTTTTATTTGCAGTCTATGCATTGGAATAGTCTTGCAAATTTTTTATTAGTCCTCAAGTAAGATGCCCTCCCTGCCCTTGGGAAACTATAATTTAAACAGAGATAACTTGAGGGAAATGAATGTATTTGGCAGCTCTCCTGATTCCTTGGTTATTTGCATATTCTGCAGATGTAGCATTGTAACAATGTACTTTATATGTTTGGAAAAATTAAGCTAAATTTTGAGCTTGTCCCATCCCATGCCCTATGTCTGAACTCCTGTTCAAAGTCAGCATCACATCATGCCTAGAGCTGATCGATGTGGCCCAAGAATGCAAGAAACAGTTTGTGATTTTCACAGAATCACAGAATCATTAAGGTTGGAAAAGACCTCTTAAAATCATTGTGTCCAACCTGTGACCGATCACCACCTTGTCAACCAGACCAGAGCACTAAGTGCCACATCCAGTCATTTCTTGAACACCTCCAGGGATGGTGACACGCCCTGGGCAGCCCATTCCAATGTGTAATAACCCTTTCCATGAAGAAATTCCTCCTGATGTCCAATTTTGCTTAATTAACTTCCATGGCAAAGGAATCCACAGATAATGCAGATCCAGAAATCCCTAGATAAAGATGTACTTCTTTTAAAATACTGTTAGTACTGCAGGCCTGAGAGCTGCTTGGTTTTGGACTCACAGTTCACGAAACTGATGAAGATGACAGTGGGAGAATCCTGCAAGGTGTCCCCACTGAGTCCACGAAGGTGTTAGTGCAGCAATCCCTGGAGGTATTTAAAAGACCTGGTGAAATTGTTTAGTGGTGGCTTTGGCAGTGGTAGGTTAATGGTTGGGCTCTATGACCTTAGAGGTCTTTTCCAGCTTAAATGGTTCTAATGATCACTTCTGATGGATTACAGAGCACTGGTCTAGATGACGTAGTGTCAGCCCTCCCAGCCCTGGTTCTGGTGCTGTTTGTGATTTAGGACATTGATGCTGCCATCGGTGGCCACAGTGACTTTGCTGTGTGCTCATCTCAGACCATCATTTGATGAACACTGTTCTATCCACCATAAGCCAGCACTGGTACTGAAGGGAAAAAAAACTGTCCAAGGCTTTCAGATTTCCTCCCCTTCTGTTTTCACAAACATTTCTCCAGCAATGTGTGAACCAGTGCACAGATCTGCTCTGCACCAAGATAGAAAAGCTGCCTCTGGGATCAGCTTAAGCTGACTAAGATCCAAACTGCTGTCACAGTCATAGCTGGAGACAGAAATGTACCTTGTTTTCTGGCTTGTCAAGTTGTTGTGAGAACGTAAACAACACTTATGTTTGATCCAAATGTCTGAACACTTTCATGTAATGTTTTTGGGAATCCTTTTGGCTGGATACCATTTGCTAATTATATCATCAAAATATAATAACCATCATAGAAATTGGAAGGGGTAAAGCTTGTAGCTTTTAAACTTTGCAAGATGCATGGTGAACACTGGTTACCTTTACAGAATGGCAAGTTACCTTGAAATAAAGACAGGATGAAGTAGCAAGTTTGGATCTTAATCTGGAAGCCCTCATACAAAGTGGATGTAGAATTCTGCTTTCTCTATGGACAGAAAGAGATGCAAATTGACACAAAAACCTCACAACACCTTGGAAGTCCCATTTCCTTTTTAAATTATGATTTCTCTGGACTACTTTTATTTCCTTTCCTCAAGGAAAAATATAGTGACAGGCAATTTTTGCATACAGAAGTTGTAGTATGGCTTAGCAACAACATGCAATGCTCTTTAAGGTTTAATATTTTATTTTAAGGTTGATTAATCACACAAAGAAGCTAATGGAGAAAGAAGAAAAGCTCTGCATTAAAATTCTTCAGACATTACGAGAAATGCTTGACAAGAAAACTAACTTTGCGGAAGAGGTACTGCTACCACTTTTATAATGAACATAGAACTTACAGCAGGGTAATGTTGGCTGTGCGGCAGCAACAGAATCTGACATGATTTCACTTCTGTACATGTTTTAGAGACGCCTTGGTGTCTCAGGAACAGTGTGGTAAGGCAGGGAGTCAGGTTGGAACAGAAGAAACTATCTGCCTTACATAGTTTTGTGTGAGACTCTTGACAAGAGTGAATGGAAATGAATTAGCAGTAGCAAGTATTACTATGTATAATTATTATATGTTGGCTATCCTTTATTTCTGGAGACTAGTCGTCTTATGTCACATCTGACTTTACCATAAAATCAGTTGGAAATACAGGGATTTTTAATTGCAAGTGTAGTTTCTCCCTGCTTCCTGTGGTGCCAGACTTTTGTACTCTACACACTTTTTAATGCTCGGAAATGTGTGATGGGAATATGCAGTGTTTAAGCAGAGCTGCCAGTTTTGGAAAGAAGTGACATAGTCTGTACTCTGGAAGCGTCTAATTATTTCTTGTATTCCTCTCTCTCCCCTTATTGCCCAGTTTTCTCTTGCAAACCCAGAGTTTTCAAACACTTGTTTCACTTTGCCTGTGCTGTTGGATACCAATAACTAGGTTCAGATTTACATGTCAGCTGTCCCTTCTTTTTGAGCCTGATCCCCCTGCCTCTTGTGTGGTTTCCTTTTATCCGCATTTCTGGGTATTCCCCAAATCCTTTCAGTATTATTCACTCTTAAATATGAATCATAGAGCTATTATCTAATCTCTCAGTGCTGACATCAGCCCTGCTTTACACAAAAACAGCCAGTGTGAGCAGAGGAAACCAACCCCATTTTCAGCTCCTGCTTGAACTAAACTGTGGCTAGACATGAGCAGGCAAATTTTTTTTAATGTCATAACAAGAATTTCACAGGTGAAGCAGATATTTTTATTCTTAGTTATTATTCATACTTACTCTAGTAGCTTTCTGGATCTGTAGCACCACGGCATCACATGGGAAAATTAATTTGCTTTTGTAACTGCAAGTTGCGATGAACTTTGCCAAACCTCTCCAAAATAATTACATAGACCCACCAAGAGTTAACCTCATTTCAGGACCACAGGGGAAAAAAAGCTACACTTTTAATGTAGGACTTAAAACAAGCAAATAAAAGATTTGCCTGTTTGATTGCTCTTTGTACCCTGTTGTGGGTGCTGATAAAATCAGACAGAGTGAAGCCATCAGAGGCATGTGCTCCATTGGTGTGTGGGGCTTTGCCCCCTCCACCAGCTCAGACTGTGCTTCTCAGGAGTGGACATAGGAAGTGTATTCCCATACCTCCACCATCTCAGTGGGGCATGGTGTGTGGAATTGCTCCTCAGTAAACAGAATTTCTCCCTCACACTTCCTCTCAAGTCTCATTGGTTTTGCACTGAGTAACATAATGAATCAGTGCAAACAAATAAATGAGTAAACAAGCTTGTATGGTGTGCAAGTGCTTCTCTGGCTTGCTACTCTTATGAGTCAGTGTTCATGCTGTGGACTTTAGAACAGCAAAACTAACACAATGAATAGCCTCATGTGCGTGTTTCCCATCTTTTTTTGAACTGTGATATCTCTGCCTGCAAAGTTGTTCAACTATGTTATGCAGATACTAAGAACAAAAATAGTGGTAAATACATAATGGTAATACCAGAACAAAGCTACAGAGGGACATGTGACATTTTGACAGGAAGCCTGAGTTCGTTAGTCACCCATCATAATGTATTTTCTGTGATAAATTTGACAGAAATGATAAACCTAGAGTTTTTGCAGACTTTCCCACAGTGAGAAAAAAGGAAGAAATCATGAAATAAAATTTCCTCCTCTTTCTTTCTCTTCCCTTTACTTCCCACAACTGAGAGCCTTCTACTGTCTTTAGATTTCATTTCACCTCTGGAAGGTAGCCTGTGCCATTGAAGGAACAGAAGGGAAAGATAGCTGTAGGGGCTCATTTCCCTGGTTTGATGCCTGTTCCTGTACCCACTGTCTCAACTCTGCTGTTGTGCCTCCCCTTGCTGGTGTGTTCCAGGGCTGCTGGTGCTCTCCTGGCTGTCCTCAGATGCCCTTGCAGTCAGCCTCTGAGGCAGTGCTTGCTTGTGTGTTGTTTTGCTTAGCACCACAACATTCATGTTAGGAATCAAAGTTTAATTTCAGAAGTTTGATTTAAGGTATATAAATGACACATAAAACTTTTTGGTCATTGATTGGCTTTCATAAGTAATTGTGGGTGATTATTGCAATCTCCTGGGAGTTCTACATAAAGTCCTAGTCCTATTTGTATTGATTTGGTAGCTAAGTGGAGTGAAACTTGATCGACAGCCCCTCTCTTACAGAAGGTCTTCCAGAACAGTGTTAGAACACTTGGGAAAACTGTGTGGAGGAAGTGGATGTTGCCTCTGTTCAGACAGTTACTGTGGTATCTAAATGTATTTATCTAAAAGCCTACTTCAGACTGACTGTTTAAGAAGAAAAACAGGAGGGGCAGAAAGGACTGTTTGACCTAGATCTACCCCATCTATATTAGGGGGGTTTTTGCTGGTCAATTTTCTACCCATGTTACAAAACCAGAAGGATCATGGACTAGAATTTTTGGTATTTTTTAGTCGTATCTTTTTATCCTTCACCATAGTGCTTGATATCTGTTTAATTTCTGTGTGAACATTGTCTCTAGACCTACTTACTTAGCTTGAATTTCAGTACCATTTTCAGAAGCACCTGAGACACGTAGACTGTGCAACTTTGCAACTGACTGAAGCAGTGTGAAATCTCAGCAGTGCCTTGCTGCCCTGCTCAAAGTGGCTGTGCCTACAACAGAGCCTGTGGGCCAGGAGGGGTGGCCCAGCTGCTTCCAAGAGGGTTCAGAAGCTTAAATTAAACCTTCCTCAGTGAACTGGATGAAATTGAACTTCTGACCTAAGAGTGCTCATATGGCAACTTCTTAACCCACTCCAGCTGCTGGCACGTCAGTGCCTTGGGCATGGGTAACGTTCTCATTTCCCAACTGTTCCTAAATGAGGTCATCATCTCTGGGGGGAAAATATTCTCTCTGATAACGTGCACATATGACTAGTGTAACATTACTGGCTGATCAGAGTGCTAAGGGATGATAGTGCATTGCAAAATATGACAGAATCCAAACCTGTGTATACTGCCCACTGGGAGTTCCTAGGGGAAACTCTATTATAAATGAATTGAACCCTTCAGTAAGGGTTGCCTGTGCTGCAGAACACAGACTTTCTACTTTTTTCCTGCTTTAGGTGTTGAACTAAAGTATAAATAATTGAAAACTGCATTTTTAAGTGTCAGTAGAACAAAGACTGTGTAAGCTGCTTAATTGTCAGAAATAAGTAGTTGTGCTTTTTGCCTTTTTTGGAAAAACTAATGAAAAAGGTTGTCTTGCTTGTATACACTTGTGCTAGCTTAATGATTTGAAATTATGGAAGTAGCTTTGTGGCCTTTCATTTTGCAGTGTTAACATTTCTGCATTCTACTTTAGATATGAAATGTAAGCTGTCCTCTCCCCTTTGTTTGCAGCAACACCACCAAACATACCTGTGAGAAAAGCAATACAGCTTCAGTGTAAATACAAATGTATTTTACTCCTGTAAGATGTGGTCCCTCATATGGCCACTACCAGCTCTTGGTAATTTTGTGCCAGAAGACCTTGGTCTTTTCATGTCGTGCTGTTGACAAAATCTCCAGTGAGTTTGTCAAAAGCAATAGTCCCAGTTCATTATTGTATTGATCTGCCAGACAAGCTGAAACCAGTGAGAGCTGCAGGTCTTTTTCTGCTGGGATAAATGGTCTCAATGTGTCTTAGAAGCCAGGAGATTTTGCTGAGAGCCACTACAGTGTCCCAGCATTGCAGCTCTTTGAATCACAGCCATTCTCAACTTAAACTGCATTCTACTCCATAGCCTCGTCTTTTTAAGATGATTTTTCTCATTTCCATGTGCAAATTAGGGAGCATTCAGATAAATAACATATGTATGTATAAAAAAGGGGAAAAAAGAGAATAATTCTTATTATGTGGGGCTTGCTGTATACCTCAAAAGGATGCTTGTTTTAAATGGGAGAACAGGATCCAAATTCATGTTACTACTCACATTTTGGATTAGTGGCATGGCAGGCATTCTGAAGAATTGCATTTTATTTTTCCCTATTTCTGCTGTCGGTTTTGTTTGTTGTTGTATAAAAATACTTAGGCACTAGCTTGTTTTTCCGTGTTGCCACCAGGCCATTCTCCTCACTAAGCTCCGTGTGGCTGCGAGGGGCTTAGAAATACTACAAGAGAACGTGCTCAATGCTGAATGTTTTAAAAATCACTTACATATTTTAGCTGGTAAAGGACATTTTTTGCAGTATGCTGCATTAAAAGTTCTCTCCATAGGAAACTAGCCACAGTTTGAGGAGAGACTGGAGGTACAAGGAGGAAGAATGGCTACCTCTAGGAGGGCCAGTCTGGTTGTGACCAGCATTTCTGGTATGGTCAAGAAACTGCTGCTGTGGCTTTGCCATGACAGTTAAGTGATAAGTATGGCAGAAAGTTCAAACACAACTGAGACAAACTCCTCTCTCTGTGTGATGCTTTACATGAAGGTGGTGATCAGTTGCAGAACTGAAGCCTGAACTAATTCACTGGAGTGGAGGAGTCAAGCTTTGCTATGTGAATCAGAATCCTCTGATTCACAGCAGTAATTGCAATGGCAGGAGCACCACAGCTTTCAGATATGCAAGACTAAACACTAAATGTGGTCAGACCCTTAAAGTGTGGTAATTTCTCATTATACCCATATGCTGACATTTTACAAAGAAATAAAACCTGCAGAAAAAATAAATGCAGTTTTGCTTTTCCCCCCTCTAGGCTTCAAGCTGGAATAATTAAGCAAAGAGATCCCACAAGGCTGTGATGGTGTTGTTAGCACTAGCCAGGTGTTGTTAGCCACAGTGGTTAGTGCCTCAGGCCATCAGCCACTG